ATACTTATGAAGGAGCGTTCAAAATCGCGGCGTGTCGCGGCACGTCGCTTAATGAGCAATTAGGGATGGATAATTCCGCGCGCGTGGAACCGAAACCCGGAGAAGGAGACGAGGGAGAAATACGGAGGCCGGCCGCGAAGAAGACACAAATGTGCTTTTTACCTGAACGATCGGCACCTTCGCTAATGAATAATTAATCATTGACGCGGCGGTCAGCGATGCGAAATCAGCGAGAGGTACTCAACTGTAATCTAGATCATCACAGCTGCGACCGTAAGAACATTAGAGTTTCTTGTTCTGCAGAGGATCTCTGCGACTTCGCTTTTTATTTCTCTCTGAGTCCGTCGTTCGCGAATAATGATTCGCTGCTTGCTTATATGCTTTATTAATTCTCCCGTTTTCATGATACAACGATTTTATTCCCGAGATTGTAATAATGATATGAAGTACGAGTTTCCTAATGAGTTCCTTCAATCAAACTGTCTGATTTAGTTCTCGTTAATGATTTAATGGAATATAATAATGTGTATCAAATATTTTCATTTGCTATTATCTAATTTCTCTGAATTTTCCGAGTAATTTAAATGTCTGCTAATTATCCGATCGGTTTTTATCAACTTTTGTTCTCGTTGTAACTTAACTATTATAATTAAAATTCCATCATAAATGACACGAAAGTTGAATCTTGTAGAAGTGTAGTTTTTGTACATAGCTTGTGTTAAGTAATAATTATCATTTCTCTTATTAAAATAATTGAATGATGATACGCTGGAGACATACAATAAAATAATATACAAATAACTAATCTTGATTTAGTACTGTCGATCCATACTATGCTATTGTCTGTCGTTGACGGTGAAAGCCGGCACAAGAGGGAAAAGCTCGTGAAAAAAAATAGTTCTCTGTATGCATATGATACTTTCTACTACGGTCTTATACACAGGTCAGGACACTTCTATATCGACTGCATGCTGTCAAGTGTAACAAAATGTAACTAATACGGCTGCCAACTCAGGCCGATTTATTCAATGTGCGTCAGCGCAGATTTTTTTTTTATTTTAACAGTTTTGTATTAGATCTTGTGCACAACTGAAAAAATGTTAAAAATAAACACGATTAAAAACCGCCAAAATGAATATTAAATATTAAGAATAGTTTTTATTAAATTATTTAAAAATAGTGAAATATATTATAATAAATATATTATTATATAGCAGGCCTGAGTTAGCCGCCATATTGGTTACATTTTTTCTACACTTTATTTGAATGAGTGTCCTGACCTGTATATAAGACCGTGCTTTCTACACGACAAGAGGACTGAAGTCATCCTCGAAGATATATCTATGATCCTATTCGGATACGGTGATATTTACACGATGATGTTCCGCGAGATAGATCAACGATTAATTGTCTTGGCCGATATTCCATATTTATAGACGATATTCAGGTCAACCATTATTATCGAGACGCGATCTAAGAACTGCGACGCGTTTCGTCTTATGTTAGTTTCACTTAAATTGCTTCGCGCGTCGTTGCATCCCCGCCATTGTCCGACGAAAAATTCAATTCTACGATCGGTATCTTTTTCCAAGAGAGATCTTTGCTTTATTTCGAAACCGAGTGTCAAGTGTAATGCGTTTTTGGAGAAGGCGAAAACTAAAAATTACATGCTCGAATAAATAAGCTGCAATTTATAATACTTTCGCATTAGATTGCAACTTTCGGATTGAAACGAAATCTCAGTTCGCTTACGATTCAGAATCCAATAATAAGATAGCCTGTTAATAGCCTGTTCTGGGTTTCGGTTTCGATTCTCTGGCCGAAGAAGAAAACCGGAACCGTTTAAATTGCGGTACTTTTCGGTTACGGTTCTTTCGAAGCTTCTCTTTTCTAATTATTTTGTATTTTCATTAAATTTTGCTTTATCAAGAATTCTATATTTTTTTGCATCGTATGCGCATAAAAAAACTTCCTTGAGTAAAACGGAAATACCGTGTAATTGTCCTATAAGAAAATGAGAATAATTAAAGCATTCTATTTATTTTTACCCTCTTTTGCTGGTTCTCTTTTCCTTTACTTGTATATTATATAATCTTTAATTATGACATCAGGGGAACAAAATCGAGAAAATTACGAGATATAGCCAGATATTTCATATGCAGTATAATCCACAATGTGAACAGATAAGAGTATGTTATATGAAATGCGTTATCATCAATCATATGAGAAGGATCTCACGAGAACAATCCATCGCAGCTTACCCTTTTAGGTAACAAGTCTGTTATATATTTATGTGAACGTCATTTATTCGTCCCTTTGATTATATATCACAGACAATCTTCATAAATTTCTTAATTCTTTTTCCGGCTTATAATTTATTTGCACCTACACTGCAATTTTTAATCATATCGTATATCTGCCTTATTATTAAATATAAGATAAAAATGTAATTAAAAAATCAAATTACTTGTTATACATGACAGTTTTTTATCCTTTTGCGTCTCTTTCAAATATTATGTCTTCAACGTTTATATTTTCAGCAAGGCATTTTACGACAGATGCGAATACAGTATTTTTCTGTTATATAATTTTTTGCCACATGTATGGTTGACGGAAGTTGAAGGTCGTAAGATGTACAGTTATATACATCTTATATGAATTGCATTCTTTCGATTTCATATAATTAATTTTAAATATCTGACTGGCTACAAATTACTACTCTATTCTTCGACATCTCCTACTACATCAATTGGCATTACAAAAATAAAATAAATTACATTGTTTGCATGATGCTAAAAGCTGTATTAATACAAGTATTTTAAATAGCTAAGATCACTTGACGATTACAAGCATCTGCTTCGTTTCATGAATGAAACCAATTTCGTTCCTTTCATCTTAGCAATAAAAAAAAAGAACTATCATTAGTGATGAGTAACGAGTGGTTTTTTGTAAGCACTTCCGCTTTATTCTTTGATTGACTTTCCTATTGAGAAGGAGTTGAGATCGACGATCGATTTCGACGCGCTTGAGCTTCGATGTCAATGAACCTGTTTACCTTTGATCGAAAGGCGCAAGGTGTCGTCGAAGTGGGAAGGGAAGAGAGAGCCTGGGGAGGTGAACAGAGCGCAATCGTAATTTCATACCTGTCACGTCCACGATTGGTCAAACCGCTCGATACCGGCCTCGAGAATGTCAACTGTTCGAGTACCGTTCGTCGTGTCGTCTCGACTGTTCTTCGAGTCTTCTTTCGCTCGGCGAAACGCGTCTTCTCGACTGTCCGCCCTTTCGCGAGAACGAGATCGTCTAGAGATCACCTGACTAGAGTCGAGGACAGGGTCATGGATGCGAGTTCCCGATTGTTTCGTAGAATATTATTCAGAGCCGCGAAACTTACCTTCTTCGGAATAATACATTTTTTTATCGATTTCCCCATTGTTTTATTTTATAAAAAATATTTTTGTTTTAGAAATAACCATCCCAGATAGCACAAGGTACTCGATAAGAATTCATTTGTATATCACCAATTTTGATTCATTTTATTGATATAAATTCTATATGTATTTGAAAAAGGATTCAAAATTGGTGACATACAAATGAATTCTTTTCGAATACCTTGTGCTATCTGGGATGTGATGTGTGAAATATTTATTTGTACTCGACTTTGGATTTTAAATAATACTAAGATATTTAAACAGATTCTCTTTTATGGAAAAGAAAAGAGAGCTTTCTACATTTCAATATCTGTGTAATATTAATTCTGCGAGATTTACACAAAAATCTGAAACATTAAATTTTCTATCCTGTGTTTGGATACATTTCTCTAAAAATTCCAATTTTTTCACATAAAAATTTTATATTTAATTATTATATATTATTGTAAATAAAGTTACATGAATTTTCTAAAAATAAAGGAGTAATTTTTACGTAAGAGAGAACATTTTTATATCGTGCAATTTCAATTTAGCTTGTCGTAGATAAGACTATTTACGGTACGACAGGATAAATGCAATGGTTGCAGTATTTTTCGCTATTCCGAACACAAAGAGACCATTTCGCGTATCTTCAGCATCGTGCGAATTTAACAGATTTCTTTCGGAATAATAAGGCTTGCACGCGCGCATCCCTCCCTTAGTAGGGTCACGAATTGGGTATACCGTAAAGTACTACCTTTTCAGAGTACCGTTTGGGCGTGAAATTATTTCATCTGCGTCTCTCGATCAACTGCACGGAATCTCTTTCTCACGCGAACACGGCAGGGCTAATTACGCCCTAACGACGATATAATTATACATTTTTGCGCGTCGGAATAAGGAAGTGGCCGTCGCAATTAACACGCTTTTTTTCTCTTTTTTCCTCGCTGCAACATAATTCCTGAGCGGCCCTTCTGTGTTGTTGCGCATTTTGCTCTGTGTCTCGGCCCTTTTTAATTCTCGCATGCCACCCCATCAAATTCCACGATCAGTCTTCTGCGAACACCGCGACGCGTTTACGTAATATCGCGAAATAGGTTCGTTAACCTTTTATATGCAGACATTACACTGCCGCGAGTTCCTCAAGCATGGAGAATATTCCTTATACGACCATAGTTCTAATAGTCTTCACTTCAGTGGTTTACCGTTTTAATATTCGCGTTAAGCGCTGCCGTACAGCTTATTTGGGTTTATCGCCCTCACGTGCGAGGATTGTGATATAGTCGAGCAAAGTTGAAAAAGACTGAAGAATTTCAATCGTTACATGCTAATTATTATTTTTTCCTTCACATCGAATTACAATATATTTTAGGAGAAATCATTTTAAAATCAATAAGAAAAAATAGGCCAACTAAATATTTTAATGTATATTATAACTAAACCTGTAAAATTTTCTTCGTTTAGTTGGCCTATTTTTTCTTATTAATTTTCGAATTCACACGAGTCTAATGATTATTAAATTTTTTGATAAATAATTCTACTTTTTGATTGTGGAAAAAAATATTTACATCGATTTTTCTTTATTTGCAGGAGTATTGGCCATACAAAACGATAAGACATCCTCTCGTACGTCTCGGGAAAATATGGTGTTGAGTGCCAGCGCTTACACTGGTCCCGAAAAAACATCGAGTGACAGTCAATCGGACGAGTCCTTGACTTTCCAGAGGACCGTCCCAGCATTTCAGCTGGAAAGCTCGAAGAGCGTTAACGATTACGACGGGGAACAATCCAAGCTCGTATTCAGAGAGACGAATCGCGAAGAACCCATCGACGAACTAACGTCGTCGAAGCATGTGGCCCATATCGACGGTAATAACATCGAAGTGAAAGCCGGAGAGTATTACCGGTAAGTCATTCTGTTTTTATGGATACTGATAAAAGGGCGAGAGTCGCAACGAGGCTGAAATGGATTCTTTTTATATGAAGTAGTATCTAGAAAAAACGCATCGCAAGCAGATAATCTTGCCAATAGTCCAAGTTTCAATTTCACGTCAACTCCATTTTTATCTCAATCACGTTCGAGATTATATAAATATTACAAAATAATTTCAGGGTGTCCAGCAGACAATGAAAAAAGTTCCCTGACTTTTTCAGATTTTCCAAGACCAGAAATTTATTTTTTCTCTGACTTTTTAGTATTATTTTTCCAAATGTATAATTTGCATATATCTATATGATAAATCAATTAAATGTTAAGTCATGAAATTCTTGAGATATTTTTGTCAACAATGAGAAGGTTCAGAAGTTAAAACAAAAATTTAAATCAATTATACAATCTGCATTATATACGATAATCGAAACAAACATGTCACTATAAACTATTTCAATAATCATCTTTTTTATTTATATTATATCAATTTTTTTAGTTTTGTCTCTATCAAACACATGGAAATAAAATAAGACGACGATGAAAATCTAAATTAACGAACACGCTGTAGATGAATCGATTTTTAACACAGAAAATTAGCGTGCTGGGAGTCAAAAAAAAGTTTATATTTATTTAAAATAAAAAATTTCAAATTATTGAGACAAATGTAGACTAATGTGAAAAAATCCAGATAAATAGTAAAATTTCCTGACTTTTCACTGACAATACCAGGTTTATAAAATTCCCTGCCCGGTTTTCCAGATTTCCCTGACCGCTAGACACCCTGAATTTGCTGCATGAATATATTAACGATATATAATAACACATTCGCATAAATTAATATTAATACTAATTAAATTAAACTAATATTAATATTAATTAAATTAGTATTAATATTGAACATCGTTATTCTTAATTCGTCGATAATATTGTTTCGATGATTAACCTCGGATACGATCGGAGATGCATCTCGCGAAATAATTAATCGCCATCAATAGGATAACGCCCACTAGCAGCGAATCGATTTCGGGGGAAGGACAAGGGGCTCCGCTGAGAGTAGATCTCCTGTCGGAGCCCCATCAGCTGGTTGGCGCGCCGAGGCAACGAGCACAGCATTCGCAACCAGCGATGGATCTTCAACGACGGGGTCGTCAAGAGATCCCGAGGATCTCTAGCGAGCGCGCGTCGCCGATTTTGCAAACCGTCATGCCAGGTCAAAGGCAAGCGAATCCCGACATACAGGACATTATCACCGGCATCGTCAAGTTGCTCAACGGCAACGTAAACGTGGCCGCCAACACTGTGAGACCATTGAGGCCGATGCAGGCCACGAGGTATGACAAAATTCAAATCGCATTATTGCAATGTATATAATTCATTTCTTTCTCAACTCATTCTCAATCATTAAATTTTCTATAAAAATTGTGTTATTGCGTGTATTTTTTCTAATGGGAGATTCTTAAGGCAATTTGGAGACGATTTTTCCTCAGCGAAATGTTGAGCCAGGTCATCATCTTTTTAATGTTCCCAATTTTTTAAATCATGTATTTGTGTAACTAAGCTTAAATTGAAAAAATTCACCAAAAAGATTTTATTTTCAATCGTTTATAACTTGAAAGTTATCGGTGTCTGGACATTTTCGCTGAAGAAAAATCGTCTTCAAATAGCTTGAAGAATCTCCCATTAACGAATAGTACAGTAAATCTGGAACACTTATATTTTATCAGTTTCCGAAAAGAAAGATGCATAAAATGGAAAATACGTTTAAATATGAACAGTATATAATGAATAATTGTATTTTAGGATCAACAATAGAGGACCACCTAGAATTTCGGATGTGCCGCCGTTACCCCCGGATTTCGACACTCCTGGTATGAATCCACCACCGCCACCCCCGTTATCGTCGTCCCATCCTTATCCCTTTGAAAAGCCCCCTGCGCCCGACAGGCCATCGCTAAATCAGTTACCACCAGAGAGACCTGTAAGGCCCTTCATCAGCGGAGTACCATTACCAGAACAGGTCGTGCCGCCTTGGAACTGGGATCCCCCTCATAGTACGTCGTATATATTCCGTGAATAATTACGCATCTAATTAATCATTTATTTTGCACGGATGCTTTAACGTAACGGGACATAAATATATATGTATATATAGCACGTATGAAATTTAATAATTTAATTTTCATAATAAATTTCTTAATAAAATTACCGGGAATTACTTCTTTTTCAAGATGGTAACAGACAACCAATATTGTCTTACAAACCCTCGCCTTCGTCGCTGGATTCCAGTTTCCATCGCGATAAGAATCTCTCGACGACGGAAATTTCGCAACACGATTTGAAACCGGAATCCGAAATGGCCCAAGGAAGCTCAACGATAAAGAAAGACGGCACTCATCAGGGAACACTTATCGAAGACGACGATACTAAGAATTATACGAGCAATTTTGACGTCGATCTCACAACGACGACGAATGATGATCCGGTTATTCAGAATACGACGAGAAAATCTGAAGTCGAAGAGTCTAAGAAGAATCATATTATCCACAAGTATCATACACCCTCGAAGGAAAACAAAATTAATGGCGAGGAAACATTGATCCTCGGCGTCGCCACAGATTACGTCACTCCGACGCGACATCCGGAATCTTCGAAGACGACGACGTCTTCGAACGGTCAAGTTAAAGTTACGAAATCTTCGAAGAGCGAGGAAAAAGCATCGTTTGCTACTTCCAAGATAGAAAAACCGATCGAGAAAACTACCCTGATCCCCACGAAGACTTTCTCGACGAGCACCTTAAATATAGAGACCAGTTCGTCGGTTCAAGTGATCGAATCTATACCGACAAAAGTCATTCTTCGACCTACTTCTGCTGCATCTGCGGAATCAAACGCCGACTCGAAATCCGGCGTGAATTTGGAACCTAGCAATGTAGCAGATGTCGAATACACGGAATCCATATCCAGCGTATCAACGCCAACTGACGGTCTTCCTACGAGTTATTTCAAGAACTCAGCAACGACGGAGAAGAGCATCGTTCGTCCTACAACCTCGATTATTACGAAAAATACAGGTATGTCAAAAAGATATGTGCATTGATAGATCATTCTAAATAATAATCTGTGTAAAATATATAATTATATACTATATAATAATTATAAAATTATTAAAATGTAGGATCTACGGAACGCTATCGTCCACGACCTGGAATCGTCCTGGACGATACTCTGGATTATACTGGTACGCAAGGATTGCCAAGTCAGAGACCTTACATCGCGTCGTCGAGACATCCATCTCCCAGTGACGTTTTTGATGTAACTGTCTCGGCAATTCAGGGACCCGGAGGAAGCTCTGGTAATTTTCTCAATTGCTTACGTTATTTCCCTTTAGTTACATATGTGTATTTTAAATTGTATATTGTGTAATATATTTTTTCAATTTATAAAAAATTTTTTTACTAAAATTTTTATTGAAAAAAATTGTTTTTTCAATTACATTTGATTGATTATTTTACAGGAGAGAGCGTCAGGGTATCTCTACATTCAGGTAACGGTGATGTTATATTAACTTCCGCTGTGGGCGGACAAGGTTTCGTAAGCATTGACGGTAAAAGAACGTATCTAAATTTGTTCGATAATACTGATCGAACACCCGGATCCACCCATGTGCAACCGCAACCAACTAGAACTCAACCACCGCCCATTATCGGTACTGGGTGAGTTTCGATTTTAATAACAAGAGCTTTTTTTAAAAAATAGTAAAAAGATTTTAAAAAATACATCAATTTTTGGCAATTTAATCTTTCCAACAAATATAAAACCGATTTTTTAAGAATTTATTTTTCTATATGCGTGGTAAAAACCTCCACGTTAAATAAAAATAAAAAAATAAAAAATTGATATAATCTTCGCTATCAGTCTCGCCATTCCACAACCGGACTCTCCTGTCGCTACTTTACGCCCGAATGGATCGAATCGGAGACAACCACCGTTATATCGAAGACCGACGCAACCACCTGTCAGAATAGACACTTGTATTGTGGGCGATACGAGTACGTGCGACGCGAATCAACACGAGGCTTGCGCGACTGTTCAAGGGGTATCGGCTTGTCACTGCAAGCCAGGTTTCGCGAGATTGCAGCATTCGCTACCGTGCAAAAGTTAGTAAACTGAATATTATGACATCGTCACATTATATCGCACCGAGACATTTTATAATATTTATTTGTTTTTCAGAAATCGTTAGCATCGTCGTATCAATTAGAGTTGATAAATTCCGCGATAAGAAAATTGTGTGGGATCGAGGGCTAGCTGATAAGGATTCAGAATTTTATCGGGCCTTAGCTTACGAGGCCAATAGAGCCGTAAGTCTCATTCATATTTTTCTAATATATTATAGATTTTTTTAATTTTATCTTTACACATTTAATAATATTTTTTTCTATTTATTACATGCAAATTTTATTTGTATTATTTAATTATTATAATATTTGTTATACAGATTGAATCTGCCATGTCTATGACACCGTTTTCGGATGAGTACATGGGATCGCTGATAAACAATGTTTATCAAGGAGACGTGAGCCAAGGACAAGGCGGAGTATTTATGAATGCAACTCTAAAGCTCACTTACGAAGCGAGAACAATTAGGCCAAGTCTAGCTGGGGAGCTTCAAAGACATCTGCTAGGTGTTATTCATAGAAGGAATAACAATATTGGAAACAGTGCCTTATATGTAGACAGCCCACCTGGGTCCATATCGAATTTGCAAGGTAATTCTTAATTGTTAGTCGATTGTTAGTTGAATAGTTAGTAATTAGAGATAATAATTGTTGATATTTTAATTATGAAATAAAGTATAATTATAAACAGTAATACTCTCAAAAGAAATTATATTATGCACTTAAAGTAAAATATAATTACTTAAAACAATTAAAAGCTTTGCTTATAATATCACAAGGCATATATAATATTATGAGAAATTAATAATTTAATATTATTTAATATTTAATATATTATTTACCCAATAATTTCGAATAGTTCATTCAATTAAAAAACGCGCTCAAAATAAATATTGAATCAATGATTCACAAAATAATTAAAAATAAAGTTGTAACAAAGTATCTCCGAATTTTTATAGATTTGGATGAATGCGCTTCGTCGGAATTGAACGATTGTCATTCATCTGCCAATTGTGCTAATACATTCGGCGGTTTTACGTGCTCTTGCAATCCGGGATTAAAAGATCCTCACAAGGATGATCCCGAAAAATCCGGCAGAACATGTCTGACGTGCCCGTCTACTTATTGCAATAATCGTGGCACTTGTTCTTATCAAGGGAATCAGATGCAATGCACGTAAGTAAATATGGGATAGTGTGAATTTTTGTTTGTCCGATGCATTGCAAATTTTTGCAATCTTTAGGTGCACTGGTAATTACTATGGCGCGCAATGCGAGGTTGATGGCGAAGTCTTGGGCGTTGCTATAGGCGCATCTGTGGCTGCACTAATAATTATCGTGCTGACACTAGTCTGTCTCGTAATGTGGAGGTAATTTTTTTTCAAAAAATTGAAAAAATATTTATACATATAATAATGTTATAAAATATTATATAATATATAATTATGCAAATATTTTACAGTCGAAAATGGTCTCGCGAACAAAAGTCTGCAGGTTCTCCGGTGTACGGATATATTCAAGGCGGAATACCCGGCACTCTTCCTGGTAAATTCAATTAGTAGTTAAATATAAATCTTGATTTTTTGAAGTATAGCGTAGATTTAAAAACACAAATAATTTATAGGGACTTTAGCAAGAGTGGGTTCTGTAGGCACTCTAGCATCCGTAAAACAAGGTCCGCCGACGAATTTACCACCTTACATGTGGGCTCATTTTGGAGATCACATAGCAACAGCGAATGTCTATGCGGTGTGTATCGATAAATAACATTTAATAATTAGTACTAAATGTACTAAGTATATTTTTATCGTTAGGAAAAATTATTTCTATTATACATATATACAAATCAAAGAGAGAAATTAATTTCAATGTAGTCTTATTATGATACAATATCAATTTTTGTAGAGTTTTAAGCTTTTTTATAAATTCGCAACATAATAAAATTTCTTGTCATTAAATAGTCCTAGCTTTGATCGATAACACTAAAGTATAATGTCGTCGACAATCTTATTATTGAAAGACCGAACCCATGGGCCCAACACGACCGAGTTCAGCAATGTTCGGTTATCCACCCATGAGCATTCATGGAACATTGCCACCGGTTCCATTACCGCGACTTCAAGCCCCACCGCGGCAAAGATTGAGACCTCAACCAGATCCAGATAGCTCGGATTCCGAGCCACAGGATAAGGACAGAGCCGACCTAATTCCTCAGAGCAGCGGTTTTCACGTACCAAGGCCGAAGTCGAGGTCCTCATTAGCAGTAAGTATCCATTAAATCGTCGAGCGCATTATAGAACATTATGTATCTTGCAATAAAAGATCAACGAATTCAAATGGAAGAGATAAATCTTAAAAAGAAAGAATTTATCTCTGTATAATTGAATATTTGATCTTGTGGAGATAAGAGAATTTTTTTAAATTATTCTCTCTGTAAACTTTAATAGTAAATTTTTTGAACAATACATGTGGTAACCAAATGGAACAGAAAGAAATATATACATATATACTTATATAAATGTCAAGTAAAGAATTTATTTTTGATCCGCTTATAGTAAGTAAAATCTAATAAGATGAAGCAAAGAGAGAAAAGTAGGGAGAAAAAATTCAATATAATTATAGAGTCAATCCGCGAGCTTCGAGATTAGGAATTCGCAAAACGAATTTTTATCAACTCTTTTTAATTCGTAATTTTTTTTGCATAGAAACATTCTAGTTAGTCCTCTCTTTTTTCGATCTATCGTTCCCAATATAATTTGAAAACAATTTAATCTCAAAATTAATCTAATCTGCATTTTTGATTACTATTGTAGAAGTTACCCAGCAAACACGGTATATAAATGTTATATACATGTAAATATTCAAGCATGTTACATGTAACGTACATGTAATTTCCCACTCATAGATGTAACATTTTTAATATTACATATATTACATTGTAGTTATATTGTCATTATATCCCAAGATAGCACTGACTTATCAATACATCAATGTGAGTGGGAAATTACAACTAACATGGATGTTACATGTAACGTACACGTTATATTACTTGTTATATTCCGTTTTATTATAGCAATGTAACAATTATATATCGGTGTTTGCTGGATAATTAACGATTAGTCGTACATATGTATGAATGAATTAATTTATGTTTCAGAATCAAAGCGGAATTTATAACGACGTGGAGTACGATCAAGGTGACATTCATCATCTGTCGAAAAACAATATCCCGATGTCAACCTACAGACCATATTACAGAACGTGAAATTTACACTCCGAGAAGTAACACATTCGCGCACGTGTACGTCAAGGAATGACGTTAAATAAACCCATTTCAATATTTATCGTCTCTAAAGTGCTCAATAAATAGTGCATTAGAATTCGTAGCGTTGCCGTTCTGCGCGAGAAGTGATTCTCCGATAAGGAAACTGTGCGATTCGTTCCAGAGAGTCGTTCGAGTAAACAGAAAATATTTAGAATTTAAACGAAAGATTTACAGACATAGTATGAAGTATGTATCTAATCATTATCCCGCGCGTGTATTGAACAGATTAGATCTTACTTGTTACGTAGTCGTGTTTTTTTTTAGTCGTACGATTTTACGATGGCTCGATATTTTTCATTGTCAGTATAATACAGATATTTATTATGCATTCTTATTGTTTCGGTATTTTGTAAAATTCGACGAATTACTATGTTGAATAGTTTTATTAAGGGAAACATATGCGTCGATTGCACATATATATACTTAATTATTTTTTTAATTACTATTAATTATTATTAATAGCTCAATACTCGGAATAAGAATAACTTGTAAGAATAAATATATATTATATAATATTATATCACAATCGCGGTTATTTTGCTAAATAACGATTGTTAGTAAAAATTAATTCTATTATATGTTTTACAAATTAAAATAAATTAAATTTATTATAAAATAATCTAATTTTTATATTAATTAATTTTAAGATATTTTTAAGAAATGCAATATTGTTAAGAAAGATCTTTTTAATGGAATATCAATTTTAATATACAATAATTATGATTAATTTATTAAAACCTTTCTATACAAGATATAACTAGTTCCAAAAATAGTATGAATAATCATCTTCTAGGTATCATGAAGTATTAATATACTTTAATTCATTAAAAGAGAGTATAATCTCTTTCTCTGTAATAATGTATATTATATATTTTTAGATTGAATACACAGAGCATAATTAAAATTTAATCTATAATTTTTATTTTATAATTCTCCAACTAACATATTAACCGATATAAAGCAGAAGGTAAATTTTAAAAATGCACGAAATGAAAAAACAGTGAATTTACATTTCACGAAACAACATATCGAAATATATGTTATCAGATATGAGCAGAAAAAATATGACATTAATTTGAATAAATGTTATTTACTTTTTAGCGAAATATTTATTTATTTAAATCTAAATTATTATATAGTTGAATTATATTTAAAAATTGAAATTCTTTGAAGTTTAATTTGAATATATTTTTTCTCTCTCAACGAAATTGAGCACATGTCTAGTGTCAATCGATCCGCACGACACATATGTGTAGATAATGTCGGTATACGAATAAAATATTTAGCCGGCTGTATATTTCCAACGAATGAACACTAGATACGTGCACGCTAGTATATAAGTAGGAAAGGTGAATAACCTCCATCGATTTCCGTCGCGGAAACTATAGTAGACACTACTCAATGTTTTAAGCGTTTTCCCTGTCATTTTGAGTCAGGGACTGCGACAATTTAAAGAGAACAAAATTTGACACATATTTTCTAAAAATCACAACGATGTCCTTTTCAATTTATCTTTACAATTTCAAAATCAACCGCAATTATAATTTATTGAAAGCCGACCGTTCATAATAATTAATTAGCACGTTCTATTTTCTGAAATTTTAATTTACATTTTCTGTTTACAGTTTTACATAAATTGGAGAAATAATTTATTAAATTGTTAATCGCGTATTTATGTAATACTAATAAAAATAAATATATATCTGATTAAAATTTTTTGTTGAAAAGAATAAAATGGAGAAATAGTTTTTTCTCTCTCTGTATATTTGCGCTAAGATTCTTACGTTTCCCGATATTTTTGTTTCGCTTGCTTTTGAACGTTTAAATGACGCAATTCTTCTAGTCTCTAAAGTAGCCGATGCGGAAATCGCGCATGAATCACCGTCCCGCATTACAATGCATTTCACTTTCCCTGCATTTGTTCCCTGATATTTTTCCAGGCCTAGAAAATCATCTCCCATATTTCATAAAATTGTAAAATAAAATAACGAATATTATATTATATTTCAATAGAAATCACAACATAATTTTAGAAAATTAGCTACAAATTATTAATTATAATGTTGCTGCATTCAACAAACTCTCATCAAACTCTAGGAAAATATGATTGCTTATAATTTCATTAACATTTATTTTAATGAAAATTACATAATCTAAAGACAATGTGGAAGAAAGAAATTAATTACGAAATTACAGTGCCGTATCTCATATTCATGCGCAATGGAAATTAAACGTCCCTTTCCAAGATTGATTAGAAGAAACGCGCACGTGTTGCGATCGACAAATATTTACTCGTGTAAAAAAAGGCCGCGCTTTCGAAAAATTCGAGAAAATCTCGTAACGAGTGTACGCACTGCTAGTGAAGTATATTCGTTTGTATTTCATTTCCGAGTGCATGCACATTCGGTTGTCCATTGTACATTCGTACAGTGGTACCACATATAGACAAAAATTGCTCATGCGTTTGTGAAAAAAAGAGAGAACCGAAGCGCGTTTTTTCTATCACTCGCGTATTTTAAAATTCGACAATATTCTGTGCTCTCTCTGTTATTGACAAGTGTTATAAAATTATTTTGTTTTTTATGATTAAATTGTTTTAAATATCTAGCTTTTGTTTTTCTCTCTAGAAAGAATTTAATTATTGCTAAATGCTATGTGATAATTAAATTGTTATTCGTTCTGTGCATAAATTTTTTTACATTTCTCCGCATAACATTTTATTTATACCTACTTGTAGATAACAACAATGTCAATTAACCACAATATGAATATGACATTTGTGTGACGTGTATGTTAGCGTATTTTTTGAACTATATCGAGAATATGCTTGACATTTCTAGCAGAACGATACGCCCCCGGGATAAATTACAAGTTTAGCGAAAATAAACATCATGTCTGGACTGGAAGTATCGAATTCTCTACACAGTCCATGTCCACGTCATGCCGTTTATCGGACAGCAGATATTAACAACAGTTGAAACCATGCGATAATGACGTAAATCTGACTGGCAATAAATATTTTCATATTCCTTCAAAATGAATGTTTTAAACTTTCTCTTTGAGCAAACGTACATTATAACATCTATGTATAATATACTCTTGTTTAATCATTCTTATGTACACTGTCATATTCCAAAAAACACAATTAAATTCTCGTATATCTACTTCATAAATATAATTTTTCCAGATACAATATATTATTATATATATTGGAAATTAATTTATTATTCTTACGTCTTATAAGATTTTTTAAATGTCTCAAAAATGAAGTAGTCGAAATGCCGCTTTCAGAATGTTTTAAAACGCTATATAATTGATAAAAATTTATATTTTTTTATTCTTTAAACAAAAGATTTCCATTAAAGTGTCCTCGTTACGTTTAAATGTCACTGATAAGTCGGAGTAGCAAAGCTGTTTGTGAGTGAATCCTTGAAGTAATTACGAGTAGCAATCACTGAGTCTTCGAAGTGCACTTAAAAGACAAGTACACGACATTTTATGTCTTTTTTTCTACGAAAGTATCCGAAGCTATATATCGGCAGAGTAAATAGATTTTCGCGCTGTCGTTAAAAAAACTGTAATTAGATTAAAACGCGGACCGCCTGTGTCAAGGAAATCGCGCAGCCATCTCGGCGTCCTCTATTAACCTTATTAAGGACGAACCGAGCGACAACCTTGCCTTGTAATTCCGTAACCCTATATTGCAACTTGATTCGTGCCAGTTGCTCCTCGTCGCGAAATTAGTGGCTCGATCTTGAATGCTATTTAGCATCAAAACGAGCAAATAAAGGTGCGATGCACGTCTTTGTCAAACATATCTGACAATGAGTGTAAAAAGTGTATTTCTAACTAATAAAAAATCTCCGGAATGGTAAAAATGGATTAAAAAAGAATTCAGAAGATTCAAATCGTATGCAAAATTATTAAAATAAACCAATATTTTAGTAAGATTATCAATAGTATTGCAGAATAATTGTGATAATAAAGACAAAATTAATTTTATAACAAGAGAAAAAAAGAGAAATAAGTTTATATATTTAATTAATTAATCTTTAATCAAAACTAGCTTGTACTAATAAAATTTTTATTATACTATATAAACAGAAATAATTGTTTAAATCTAATTTATAGCTTATTTGGGCTCAGTCCCATTTATTTTGCTTAAAACAATTAACGGATTAAGATAATTATAGAATTAGCACAAGGATTTTGAACAATAACGGTCAGTGCTGAGTACTGCCTCGTATGTCAAGGAAATCCTCTCATTTTAATCTCCGTCTCTTTAGTGCCAGAATGTCGCCGGCTAAGCCTTGCGATTTATTGGAAAACCTTGGTCTCGTTCGTCGCTAGCGATTAAATAGAACGTGATTTTTGTGAACAGAAATTGATGCACATGTGCACGATATGCATAAATTATATGCATGATAAATACATGTAAATGCAGTCGATTAGCATAAAAAGTTGTAACACTTTTGATTTAGAGCAAATCCTGTTTTGATACAACTTTCGTTTACTTTCTAGTGTAAAATTGGAGATGAGTAGCATCTCAACTTTAATAAAAAAAAAATATAGCTAATAATTTTTCATATAAATACATCACATTTTGTACAACTTATATTTATATATTGTACACATGTTATTTTAAAAATATATGTGTATGTTTAGTCCAATATTTTTTTTTCATTCCTCTCTCGGGTGCATGAATGCAACCATGAATTTTCTGCAAAATTACTATTTTATATGCGTGTGTCGATGTGACATCGAACACGCTATACGTCAACTTGCGATATATTCAGGAAAATTTCATCTGTCGGTGTCACCGATAATTTAGCGAGGGGCGTGCGTTCGATTTTATTTATAACATCAATCGCCATGCGTCATTCTTCTAATTAATACATCTTTCTAACACGTTTACTGTTAATTATTAGTATTGATAAATATTAATAAAAAGATGCAAAGATCTATGAAAAAAAATTTCGATGCAATAATTAATCAATACTTAATTGCTTCACGTCTCGTTTAAATTAATATAAAATTATTAGATTTATATGTGCATGCGTATAACGAAATTCTTTTTTATCATTTGCATTCTATTGATATATTTAGTTATATCTTAACGCATCTCTGGATGCGCGAATAATAATTAATTAATTGAGTTGTGAAATCTTGTTTTAAACAGTTAATAATTCCGCATCGTTTAACGCAGGCCTGCTTTGACGCATCTGCGGCCCTTGCGTGCACGCGATATTCTGATATTAACTTTAAAGATCCCCCGAGAATATAGAACGAAATACATTTTGTCTGAAATACGCTTTGCCGGAGTTAAATCGAACTCAACCAATCCAGCTTTCCGACAACGGAAATTCCTAACCCCGAGTTGTAATCCGGGAAATTGGATTGGCAAGTTCCTTATACTTTATTGAAGCTTGGAGCGAAAATAAATCCGCGAATAATTAATTAAGCAGGGGCCTGCAAAAATTGTCACATTAACATGTTAAATGTATAAAGAGGTTACATTAATTATTAATTTATTTAAAGCTCGAAATAAATAATGAAATAATAAAAAACAATGAGAAACTGAAATTTCTATGTAAAATAAATGTTACGTATTAAATACAAAAATTACTACTGCATTACTTTAGTAGGTATATTTACTATCAATAAGAAAAAACAAATCTAATATAAAAATTATTTAATTAATGAAATTCTTATCTTTCGTGATAAATGTAAAATAAAATTCTTTAACAAACTTTCACGTGAAAAATAAAGAAAATAATCACAAACTTTTCAAATATTTAAATGTGAGCGAATATTTTGGATTGTCTGAAGAGCTTGTAACAATTTATTTTTTTCATACGAAAATCTTAAAGAAAATGTCAATATTTATTTTTTTATTTAACAATAAAATGTAAAAATAATCACCAGAAAATTTTTGTATGTGCAACATTCGCTATTATAAAACTTTCTCTCTTCTCTTTCTTATACATCTTTCATATCTCTGACATAATTTTTGCAAGCCTATTATATTTTATCAATCCAAGATGAAGATAAAACTCACCGGTACGATGCGCAGCAACGAAGTTGTAGTATACACACTGTGTTGATCTATAAAAAAAAACAAATGTCCATTATAAAACAGCGTCCAAAATTGTTAATTTATAATTAATTGATATTTAAAAAATAATTTAATTAGATTTTAATAATATAAAATGTAAATTAATATCTAATAAAAAAAGTTACATAACTTTGAGAGAAAATTATAGTATATTGATATATTATCATTCTTTATCGTTTTAATTGCTATTTGAATCACAATTGCACGAAATATTTGCTTTGATAAATAGGTGTATTATAATTATGTGCATTTGAGAATTAATTATTCATCGATAATAGCTAATTAGAATGATAATCATAGTAATATAATATAATCGCCTCTAGCATCTTCCCATTTTCCCATAATCGCATTTTGAAGGATAATAAGATGACAGACGAAGCAGCTGGCCCGCCGGAATGTCGCCACCCGAATGATAACAAAACTATCGTGTAAAAAGCAAATAGCGTTAAGAATCTGTATGACGCCGTTGTCTTTTGGTGTTATATTCGTCTTGTCAGCTGTATAAATCGCTATTGTTCATGCGCGACCGCTTTGTTGTCATTCTTTTGTCGGTCGCTTCCGTATATAAGTCATCATCTCAGTATTTTTTGAAACGCGAACGCGACAAGTACGAGATATCAAATACGATCATTTGCTGAGAATAATTAGATACCCACGTAATTAATTGATCCTCGCGATTGACAACTCGTATTGAAATGATGACTATTTATCGTAACATGTATTTCATACGATTTATACATTTCAAGTAAAAATCGAAATGACAGGGATAGGCATTATCAATTATCATTTAATTGCAATCATTGTTTTTTTAATAATTGCTTGAAGCTAAATATTTTTCCTCTTGTCAATGTTATGTTAGTGCTATGTTACAATATATGTAATATAAATTTAATTGCACAATTTTTGGAAGTAGAGTAGATTAGAGTTTCGCGTAAATATTAAAAGTGCTGTAAAAAGTGATTTTGTAAAAATGCTGGATAATTATCGTAATGATTTATATGCGAGCAATCATCATTAACAGTGTTTTTCGCGAATGAGTGTGTGCCATAAAGAAGCAACAAAGAAAAAGATAAGAAGACTTAGATATTGAGTAAATGTGTTATCAGGTGAATGATATATAATTTATTTATTTTATTATTTGTTATTTGCAAAAATAATTTCTCGTTGATTTCAACAATTCAATTGTTACTGCATTTATTTTTAAAAATTGCTTGATACTCTTTATTAGAATAATTTTTATAATTATTTTTAAATTTAAAAAATGTAACTATTTAAATTCAAAATAATATAAAAATATTTTATGTAACTATAATATGTATGTAGATCAAATGCCCTTAAAATAAATACTTTAAAAGATAGATTACTTTTACTAAATATTTAATTTTGAAATGTGGCAGTATAATTGTCCATCAATTTATTCATTTATTTATAGTAAAAAGAGTTTAAAAGAGATCCACACATGAAGAATAAAATAGAGCTTATTATTATCGATCAATTATTGATCAATTTAATCATTTATGACAAATTTCCACATTTCATTCCACAAAGTATTAATTATAAAATATACAAATCGTTTAAAATTTATCAGAAATTTAAATTCATAAAAAATGTATTAGTAGCATAATAAATAAAAAACATTCAGATTTTCCCAAATAAATTCTACTTTTAAAAAATCACGCTCGCAAGAGATATCTTACTTTTAAATATTCAAAGAAGATCTGGATATTTACATTTTGCATTTGCATGTTTCACATTTCCAAAGAAGAAATATATATCTTATGCTATAAAGAAAATCTAATTTTGTAAAATTTTTAAACCAAAAACTATTGAACTTTTTGATCTTTGGAATTTAAAATATTATTTAATAAGGAATTAAAAAAGTAGCACGCAAAAGATAATCTCATATGACGCAATGTGAACAGGCATATGTTTCTTCTTGTGATTGATTTGCGGAATCCCTTAAATGCACACCTGCGGATTGTCAGCTCTGACTCATATGAGTTATCGATTTTACCTACATAAATCAAATAACGAGATTGCGTAATGTACTGACAATTTGCTCGTCGATGCTCGTCGAGCGTGTTTATCAAACAACTTGCTTCACGATTCACTTAACATGATCTATGGATCAAATTATGCACGCGAGGACTCGAATCGAGCTCGCATATATTCCGTGGATCATTAAGTAAATGAATTATTTTTCTGTTAGACATCACTGCCTAAACGTATCTGTTCTTTTAACACATAAATTGGTAAGTACATATCTAAATAATGGCTTTTTGTTAAAAAAATATGGCAAAACTCTTATTTTATCATTATCTTGCGACAACTATGATTATATAGCAATTTCCTAAACTGTATAAAATATGACTCACGTACTGATGCTGTAATCGATCAAGTTAAATTTTTCATGCTCACTGACATCGTAGAAATCGATTGCGTTATAGTTGCCAGTTTTGTTCATAGAAAGTTAACAATCTCCGTATAATATTCCTTAAATATATCTACCTATATAGATAATAATAAGAAATGAAATAACAAACATTTAACTTACGTAAAAATCCTAAATTTTCTTTATTGATTTCTAGCTTTTTCGAAATTAACAAAATAGTTGATTCAATTTCTGGAAACATCTTGTGTAATAAATGTAGCGAAAATTTTCTCCGTAAAATTAATCGATTTACATACAGAAGAGAGCCATTAAACTTTTCATCGCTGCGCAATAACTTTAAGAGAAAAGTTTTAATAGTGTGTAATTATGATAATATTTAGAGAACTAAAGTCGCTATACTTTTCACGCTACGTTTCTCAATTGTAATATATGGTCATGTGAAAAGTTTCTCGACATATATAATAAAAACGATGGTGAATTATTCGAATTGACACGAGACAGTAAAAAAGTTTTTAAATAAAGTTTCAAATAAATCAGTCACACGTTCATCAGTCATTGGATTATCAGTAAACAGGAAAACATGATTTTCGGATACACAATTCATAACCAGGAAGTCACATGCGCTGCAACGAATACATACACAGCGAATTTTCGCATTTTATCGCGTGCGCGTGCGATAAAAAGCGTATGTACCTAGCAGACGCGTGAAAAAGAGTGCATTCTCCTGTGCCATCGCATGTAAACGTCAGAGGAAAGTGATTTACGCAAAAAATAAAAATCGCAATGGCCCTGCATATCGCCATCGCGTAAAACGCAGCAACAACTAGCAAAAATTTAGAAAATTTCTTTTTAATTCTTTCTGTAAGTTTCGCTCTTAGGTAATTATTTGGCATTTAATATAATAAATCTTTAAATTATTAGAGTTTCATATAATACATTTGTCAATTTAGAATATTATTTACACATTTAATTAAATATCAAGAATTTGATTTAAAAAGTTTGATTAAAATTTATTAAAATTTATTCGCGTTTGATGAAACGTTTCTAAATAATTGTTTTATTAAAATAATTAATTCAATAATAAAAACTAATATAACAATTAACTTTTGCCCAGCAATTATCTAACTCAAAAACAGTAATAAGAAACGATCACTATACGGTCGCTTGCTTGGTTTCCGGTGCTGCACGTACAATTTTCAAAGACAAAGCACGTAACGAAAAGACAAGCACACCAGTATACATCACACCGATAATTTTGGTATTTTTTCCCCGGCACATTTATATATATGCATTATGTATATGTGTGTGTGCATACACTCGTAGATAATTACCATCTGTGCCTGCGGAAAAATACTGTGTAATATATGAGACTATAAGTTTCACCTACCTCTTCAACAATTTTATTCAAAGATGGCAAATAATTCTGTTTTATATCAATTTGTATTGCCGAGTAATTTAAGAAAAAAAAACATATTACGTAGTGCATTGATCATATTCTATGACAGTGTTTTAATTCATAAATAATATAAATACCGCATGTACTTATATATTACATTGTTCTTGAAAATATCTGTGTTACATATATAAACAATTTATTTTCTTGCTTATTGTCTTAGTCAATTTATATTATTTACATATGACTCACAAATTGAATACATATTTTAATAATAATATAAGATTAGTTTATTAATTTTAAAAAACTATTTCAAGACTCTATTGGATATAAAGATTTTTCTCTCTTACTTCTTTCTATGCTTAAATATAAACTAAAGCGTTGGCACGCTTTCAAAGGCAGTTATTCAGGAAAATCTGAAGAACAATAGATATTGCGTTGTGTATTCATGACATTATCCCGCCGTGGATTTCCGCTTTTTATTACCAGAATTCCATTCACGCCATAGATCGGTATGCACATGCATATATACACGTATAATGCACGTGCAGTCAATAATACATATCTTCTTTCCAAATCGAGCATCTCTAGCAAGTCGAGATGTAGAGATTATATTTCGAGCGCGTATATTGTCTTTATAAGGTTATAGTCATCGTCAATTTCTAAAGAACTTTAAGCATACATGATCATGCGTATTGATCATTCAGCCATTACTCGCAAAATGTTAACGATATAAATGAGAAGACATATTTCGAAGAACAACATATGCCCATGTCACACATATTTTAACAGACAATTTCGATCATGTACTATCATTCATCATCGATCTTCGCGCGCGTATACAGGTTGTCTCAATATTATTTCTTTTATTCGCACAATTTGCGCGACGAACAAAGTAAATAACCACTTACCGATGAGAAACGAATAGACTCGACAAACACACAGCACAATAATATTTTCTGACCAAATCTTTCACTCGTAGAACCGCAGGATCGCGCGTTTTTCGCTGTCGAGACTCGCGACTCGGGACGAGACGCGTGAAGTATGCGCGCAACGCTCAGACGCGGCGCATGCGCGTGTCTGTCTCGCCAGCTTTAAAACTGTGCGCCGTCGCTATACCTCCGCCGAGCGTCAGTAGCGCGCCGACCGTCACCGAGTGGGGTTGATTTTCGTCGTTCGCGCGCACTTGGCGCCAAATCGGAGCAAAACTACTCCGTGTGTTTCCTCGTACATTTTTAACATCGCGCGTACGTATTTTAATTATACCACTTGATCTCTCGGTAACAGAAGCAAATTCGTGGTGTCGGATAAACGAAAAATTACTATATAATCGTATAAGTGTTGAAACAGAGAGAGAGAGAACGTCGTCATGGGTACAGTGTGTTGTGCCCCGCGGGTGTAGTGCAAATCGCGCGATCGTGCAAGAAGGATAAGGATAGGGAATAGAGTATCGCGGTGCGCGGGAAAAGGACGAAGATTAGAACGCGCGAGCCGATAACTTCAGGCATCTCGTCGTGAAGGAGAGTGCAATAGAGGAACGGAGGTCAGAAATAGAGGTGCGCGAAGACGATAATGCGGAGCCGTTGCTGCCGTCTTCGACAACAAAACGACGTTCAGATCTGCTCGTAGTAAGTAAACTGAATCTTTTACGAAATTATTCATAGAAATACATTTGCTCCGATTTATAGTATATCCATAAAGATTGCATGCGCCTTCGCAAACTTTGAATTGCAAATTTCGTTCATATTTTCGCGATCAGTCATCATGTATAAATCGTTTTCACATTGACGACATCCTGTTACAACGACCGACTATCTGTCAAACTGTTTGAAAATAATCATTTAAGTTTGCTTTCTTGAAAAATTTCTTTCCCATTTATCTTGAAGTCAAATGCAATATTTAATTAAAAGCACAAAGATTTTTAGTCTTATTATGATCAAGTATATGATATATATTTTTCAAATTATATTTTTAAAATATAGGTACAATATCTTGTAAAATACAAGATTCATGGTCTTCAAGTATAAATATTTCTCCACTCTGTCACTTGAACTTATAATATTTCCTATTTTCAATAATAATAATTAATAATAAATCATATTTATTATAATAATATAACCTCGATCATCAACATTTTTTGGAGCATTTTTTATTCGCGAACAAACGTTATAAAGAAAGATGCAACAAGAAAAAACAATCAAATAGAATTATTGAAGGTTATTAAAATATATATTAATGATAGTATTGAATTTAATGGATGAATTCTATGCAGCATATTGCGCATACACATATACATTATCAAAAATATCATGCTAGAATATTGCAAAATGTTAATATCTCTCTCTCTTTCTTCTTTCTACATATTTGCAAGAAAAAGAAATTTGAAAAATAATCTATTATCAAAAAGGAAAATGCCAATTTATTTTTCTTTCCTTATAATCAACAGAAACTTTTTGTCTAAGGAAAATAAATCTGTAATTAATTATATCGAACATCTTTGAAATTAGCATTTTATTATCCAAAAAGTTAAATGAGATGGATCTTGATTTTCTTAACTCCACCCTATGTAAATTATTTTGCATTTTCTCTTAAAGACTATTATAACTGCTTATAACAGAGTACAAAGTAGTTTATGTAGTAGAGTATTAATTTATAGTAGTTTGATTGATCTAGTTTTGCTGTGTATCGCGACGTAATTTTCATTTTTACTCAAGTTACCAGTTTGTCTGTGTCAATTGGAGCGATTACCAAGTAGTTAAGTGCAGATTCATTGCCCTCGATTTTCACGTAAGAACGAACACGCGCCGGTTCTGTTGACGTTGCTTTAAAGGGTTAAAAATAAGGCGTAGAGTCGCTTGAGACGATGAACCGTAAACTAAGCAGTGTAATATATTCATGGAAAAGAATTTTCTTGAAATTGCAAGGTTTTATGTGGATGCAATGTTTCTATAAAATACTGATCTCTTAGCAACGGCAATTTATATTGTCATATTGTTGAATTTACGATGCAAAAAAAGTCAGTCTTTTATTTGTACAAAGAGAAATATATATTCGCGAATTAGTTTATAAAAAAATATATCAGGATACATAGTTTATTATTGTAAATATAATTATTTCCTGAGAAAGATAGCAATTTATTGGAGAATAAAATAACATTTGATATCAATTAACACATTTTCTATTAATCAATTTTTTAATCATTATTAATCAATTTTTATTCGCTTGTCTACATCAATAATTTATTAAATGGTTTTATTCGTACCTTGATAAAATTTCGTTCGTTGGTTAATAGCATTAGTAAAACGAAATTTCTGAATTGCATACAACGTAAAAGCAATTTACATCAGAGATTGATACATGATTCATGATCATTGTTCAGATATACTATATCACAACATAGAAGAAAATGCTTCGGGCTGAAAATTGCATAATGCATGTAAATTAGAATTAAATTGTTTATTAACACATTAATATTACACGAAGGTATTACTAGTTTAACTGTATTACATGTTAATGATTCCTTCTAATTACATATCTTTGCGAATTTATTATATATTTTGTTATTGATCGAAGAAACGACAAAATAATACAATTTTCTATAATTTATAAATTCCAGAAATTTCCAGGTCTCATTTAATTAATATAAAAGTGAAATTTAAAAGTGAACAGCAAATTATAACTCTGATTTTCATCGATATAGCGATTTTTACAATATTTTGTATGCGTATGATAAAGTATCATAATTTTTATGTTCAATGTATAATATTGTTTTATATTTTATAATATATATTCTAATATAAAAGTACATTATTTTAATACGTCGCAATTATAAAATTGTATATAATTTGTATAGATTAAAGATTAGTTATTGTGGAATATAATGGCGAAAAGACATGACAGGTTTTACCACATTTGATACGCATTCAAGATATTGATTTTTGCAACACAACGCCATCGTTAATTGGCCAATTTCAAACTCCATAGTACGATATATTTATTACAGAAAGAGACAGAAAGAGAGAAAGGAGAGAAAGAGGCAGAGGAGGGAAAGGGGAAAGAGAGAAAGAGAGAAAGAGAGAGAAAGACGCGTTTATTAGTTAATTAAGTTTACAGTTTAGTTTTTGAGTGCAACTAATTTCTATTCCTTCTTGCTACGAGAACAAATCTACTCTCAAAATGTTGCTCATTAAAATGCATGAGATATTACGATGGCGAATTTACGCTCATCAATTCTGCAAACTCTAATGAGCGCTGTTTGCTCTCGAAAACTTGCGAAATAAAATCAATTTGATTTTCCTTCGTTAATTTGAAATTTTATTTGTCGGAGAAATAAATAGAGATTTGAATGCAGTATTTCGCAGGTAAGAATTTTCCATTGAAATCGCAGTGCTTTTCAATAAAGATGAATTTTATTGATAGAAACTGTTTTTATGAGAATTGAGATAATTCCATTTTTCCAGATTCACTCATTTATCTCTGATCGAATATATTTATTTTGTTACTGTTATTGATATAATTATATATATAATAGGATGAAAAATAGTAATAGTGTGTAAAAAGTTTATTGTATAATTTTAAGATTTAACGTATAACTTTATTAATCTAATTATAAAGAGTAACGTATTTGTTTATTTAAAAGAGGTCATACATTCATTCAAGAATCCTTAAAAAAACTCGACGAAAACTTAGAATTGCATGTTACATTGTGTAATAATCCTTGACAATTAAATCAGCTAAAGAAATTTTTAATCATTGCATACCACATCGCTATGTCCCTTGTAACTTTATGATATCATTTTGAAGATAGCATTATTTTATAATGATAATATATATAATTAATTATTAAATAAATTTGATTTGTTTCAAAATTTACATAAAATGATCTGATGATTTAAATTCAATGTTATTGATTAAACACAAATTATTTATTCTCTGTATGAATCAATAAGCTTGCAATATAATATTATACTAATATATAATTTAACGTGTTTATTAGTTTAAGTGAGATTCCTGTTTATTATAACATTATTACTGGATTAACGACTGACCTAGATGATATAATATATTAAGTTATAGTGCAACAATTATCCTATGTAGAGAGATATCGGAGAACATGTAATTCTAGGGAAAACAGTCACAAATAGGATAACACCTGCATTAATATCTGTTAACAGCTAATATCTGTACATATAATTTATTATTCATAACACCGTTGTTTCGTTTTGCTCTCGGCTTTAATTGTGCGCTATAATTATTCAAATATTTCACATATATATAGTAATGCTACATGCGCGAACTTTACGTGTATTCATTCTTCCGCATCTCATAAATAAAGCGCACGTGACCACATGGTTCCCATCAAGCAATTATGCCTGTAACTTTTCCTCGCCGTGCTCATTTATCACCCACGCTTTTCCCACAAATGATTAAGCGGTGGGAAAACGCTTAAGGTGCGATTAACCTTCGGGCATCGATAAAATGTAAAGCGACTTTTTTCGCCGTTCTTTCGAATTATACATCAAATACAATCGTTTCGTTCGATCGATTAATTATATTAGCGTTCGGAATTGTGAAGTAGAAGGACGCGCAGGATCTTTCTGCGAGTTTCTTAAATGATATTAGAAAGTTTACGGAGAAATTCTGACTCATCTGTGCCCGCGTTCTCCTCTTATTTATCTCGAGAGACGAAACGTCTCTAAACGCCAGTTGTGAGAGAAAGAGAGAACGACATGCGGAATTCTTACTCTCGCGGACATCAAATTATTTCTGCCGCGAGCAATCTCATTGCTTGAAACGGTCAAAGCTTTGTAGCGATTAATCGAATAATAAATTCCAGAACTGTGGAATTTACAATGTAATTTCGCTTCGTTATTTAATGGTAAAGTACTACGGAAATTACATTCCTGAAATGAGATCTGTGTCAAGTGAGTTTGATGTACGACGGCATCTCTCTGCAGATTATAATTACAAAATATATCTAGAACAAATTCCATATAGCCTATTTTTTTCAAGAAGTTTCTGAACACGTCCTGTGTTGATATAATTTGATGCACACTATTAACTTAAAACAAATTTTAATATATGATTAAAAAGTGGAGCAGTCCAGCATATTTGTATTTCAAATTAATATCACATTTTTGCTAAAAATTCTTTTTACTATGATACATTCCCAAATTACTTCAATTTTGTTAAATATAAAAAATATAAAAAATAATGTGACTTTCTAAGTGCTTTAAAAATTCAAGATTAATTACGATAGAAAAATATGTCAATTTTTATTAATTATTTTTTTATTAACTTTTATTAATCGGTTTACTATATGAAACAAGATAAAATTTGACGAAAGAGTATAGGACATTTTATTGTTGTATATCGTATTTGATTTCTCCTAGACAATTCTTTTCTCCATTGTGCATTATTATAAAAATCTTGAAATAAATATATTCGATGCACCAAACGAACCTTCAAGAAGATGACTCAGGCAGTTTCAGAAGAAGCTTGAGTCATGATTTATGATTTGCGCTTCTGCTCGAAGATTGCACGATCGTGGCCGTCAGGTTTCCCTTGCTTTTTATTTTTTTAAACGCTTCGTCTGTTATTGCTGCTGATTATTCATTTTAAAGCAGCA